TTTTTAGATGACGTTCCTTTAAACACAAGGCAAGCAATGTGGTATATGCATGATGGTGCTCCTGCGCATAGCACACAGGCTGTCCAAGAATTTCTGAGGGAACGTTTTCCGGGACGGTGGATTGGACGAGGAGTAGGTGCACCCATAAGTTGGCCCCCCGATCGCCGGATCTTACACCTGTAGATTTTTATTTATGGGAACGCGTTAAACCACTAGTTTACTGCGTTGAAATAACTTCAGTTGATCAACTGAGGTTGCAAATTGTTGATTCATTTGATCAACTTCGAACTGAGATCAATGTTCTCCGCAGAGTGCGCTTTAATTTAAGACGGCGATATCAGGCAGTGTTTTTGAACATCTGCTTTAGTATTTTTTTCTTCTTTTTTATTTATTACTATTTGTTTATAATTTTATTGTTCTTGTTAATATTTTTGTTAGAATTTTTGTTATGTTCTTGTTTGTTGTTACCGTGAAAATTAAATTTATCGTTTTGGAAATTACATTCTTTTATTCAACTAAAATAAATTAACACTGGATTTAACTAAATCTGCACTTAGAAATTTATGCAAATAATGGTTATTAGCTCAGTTCGTTTTTCAATTGTCATCGCCAACTCAGATCTTACGGAATATGTTTCCTTTTTTTGTTTGTTACGATTGAAATCAAAGCTTAACATTTTCGCGTATAACTCGAAAACGGTCAATGTTATCAAAATTTTCAAAGAGTGATAAAAGTTTCTAAAATAAATTTTCTATTAAAAAGTACAAAAATAAATGTAGGGTTACGAGCGAACAAAAAAGTTCTGAGCAAACAAATTTTAGGGACATCCTGTATAGCATGGTTGCCGCCGCCCGATCAAAGTCAAAATTGGTTCAATGATTTTGCTTGATATTTTTTTACCCTGTACCAAATTTCAACGCGCTACCATAAATGGTATTGAAAATATTTAGAAAAATTTGTTAAAATTTCTGAACTAAGATGGCCCATATCTTAGCCATTTGAAGACTTTTATAATAATTTTTTTTCACGAATCGTCATCATTTTTGCTCTAGTATATGAGGTTAATTTTATGCCCCGAGTCACCGGAACACCCTGTATAGGTTTTACATTAAAAATTTATATTAGCAGTCTTTAAAAATCACGACAAAAGTAACCGAAATACGTGAAATCAGAAATATATAAACTTTGATAATTTTTTTTTACTTAAATACGTCATATAAAAATAAAACTTATGTTAATTATTAAAATCTGACATTTCTACTATAGGATTCAATTGAAAAAAGAAATACATTACGACTTTCGAAAAACCCATTTATGATCAGCAAACGGCTCAAATTGCCCATAATGCATCGTAGCGATAAAACAGACACAGTTGGATTCAGGCCTAAAACTTAAAGCGAAATTTCTAGGTCCGTACAAAGTGGCCATTAATAGTTACGAAGTTGAGAAGGAAGGGTTTGAAGAAGGATTTTTTGAAATTTTCTCAAGTCTTATCTTAAAATTTGTGTTCTTTTTATCAAAATTTGTCTACCTTTTTTGCTGAATGTGAACAAAGTGAATTTGCGCACGATTTGAGCCTTCCTGGTTCGTTTAAGGTGGTTGATTCTCGATGAGGTTGATCACCACCTGGTCCGGTAGCCGCATCATGGGAGGCAGGGGCTCTTCCGCTGCTGATAGAATCTGCGTGCGAAAATGGCCCGTTAACCGCAACACCTTCTTCCGTAATAAGAACGCTCGGTGTCCGACTCCGTCGCGTAGGATTGTAAATCGTCGAGAGGTCGCCCTCTTTCGTCATTTGGCCGACCCTTTCCTCCACACCATCGCGAACCCATCCACTAACCCACACGACTTTTAACTATCTTTCAACAACTAACGCAAATGATGTTCTAAAAGAATTCTTTTCTGATATTCTAATTTTTCAAATTTCTCCTTATATCTGAAATAAGAAAAAGAAATGAAAATATAATAAAAATGTTTTGAGGATAATTTTCAACGTGATCCGCACGTTTTACGGAACAAATCTTGGCATGTTTCCAAGTCGTTCATATATTATTCGTGAAAAAGGCAATGATTCTGTGGTTTTTAGCCGTAAAATTTATTTTATCCTAATCGCTGCGTTTATATGTATTTCTTTAAGTAAAAGAAATGGAAAAAATGAAATCAATATCGATTTGTCACGCGAGATAAACTTGAGGTCATTAAAAATAAACGGCGGCTACCTCTACCTACGTGTTGAAACATATTACACCTGACCTTTTCATTCGGATGAATCAATAATATTACAAATTTCAAAAAAAAAACAAAAAATTTAAATAAAAACATCTTATTCAAAATTTAATTTAATTAAAAAAAATTCTATTTCATATTTAGCTCACCATTTATGTGTGAAATTAAGTTTTGCTCCAAATAATTTCCAAATAGTTAAGAGAAGGTGAGGTTAGGAATCTTATTTAGCAATCCCAAAAACACTTTTTTGACGATATCTTTTCGTGCGTGTTACAACGACTTGAAAACTGACCCGTGCTCACACCCGCGACAACTTTGACACTAGGTGGGCATCGATTTTAACCGTCTCTAAGCTTTAAAGGAGCTTTAACGCGCATGACTTTTTCTTGGAAGCTCGATTTTGCGAAACAATATCAAAAATTTTTAGTGATATGTGAATATTAAACTGTGACAAAGTAACTAGACATATCTCGAAAACTATACAAAGAAAACGGCGACAAATTAATTTTTACTTTGTTATAAGATTTGCTAATTTTGCGCAATACCACTTTCGTTTTATATGTCATCAAAATTGTATGTCTGAAAATAATGATTTCAAAACATTTTTGTGGCAATATTTTAAATTTCTGTTTTTGCATCTTTTGTAAGATTGCAAATGTAGGGTTATGTAGGTGCACTTAGCAAAATTATAGTTGCATACTACTAAAAAAGCGTTGAATTCAGTTTGGTACGAACAGATGGCTCTACTATTGTTCAATGTTTATTCACAGTTCTATTTTTATTATAAATAAATATCCAAGTAATCAACAAAAGGTGATGAAAGTACAGTATGTGTTGAAATAAACGGTGGACTCCACTATCAAAAATTTACTGAACAAATTAATTTCTAACAAGCACCCGGTAGGCGATTCTGCTTATCCTTTATTGATGACTTTAATTAAACCATACTAAGCTACCAAGAGTACGTTCAATAATTTTATGGCTTCTACTATACATCTTCGTTTGGTCCACGAACTAGGCATCGATTCGCTGTCAATTGCAGCATCTAAAGGTGCATTTAAACCAAACGAACAAAGAGCTAGAGCTAAAACAAGAGCATTCTTTCTTGATCTTTTAGTGTAAACTAAAGCGCGTGTTTAGCGTTTACACCAAAATATCAACGAGCAAAAATGAGAACCAAGAATTAGAATTCTTACGCACAGATGTTTAGATCAGCCGAACGAATGCTCATTGCTCATTCATGTCAATTCTGTGGTTGGTCGTGCTTCGTTATGTCCGACTCTGACAGCAATATTATAATTGCAAGTGCTGCATTTATTATTTTGTCTCAAACACTTAAAACGAAAAGAAGGAAGAGACGTTGGTGGGTGACAAATTTAATACACCGAAGGATACTGGATAATGTAGGTGAAACGATGATGGGTATGCAAGAACAAGAAGAAAGTGGTCAATTCCAAAATTTTTGTAGAATGACGTCAGAGGATTTTGACCATTTATTATCTCTGATGAGCGACAAAATTCGGAAATCAAATACGAATTTTAGAGATTCGATTCCTGCATATGACAGACTAGCGCTGACTTTAAGATTTTTGGCGACTGGAGATTCCTATGAAAGCCTGATGTATTTTTCTAAAATATTTAAATCCACAATATGTAATGCTATATATAAAGTATGTGCTGCGATAAATGAAGCATTGCATGACTACTCTAAGGTAAGTAAACAAAATTATACTCACTATTTTCAAGACATTTATTAGAAAAATAAACAATATGTTCTAAGATTCGAACAGTATATTACTTATATAATGTTCAACATATCCTTTCGTCCGTTTCGAATACTCACGATGTTTTGAAGCTACATGATTTCCAAAAGCTTGACTTTTAGCCTTTGTTTTTGACTCATATGTATCTTTTAAAATACGATAGACCTCGTCTACGTTTGGTTTTTTTGGTGGTATTGTCGTGTGGCTAGATCCCAGGGTTGAAGGTTGCGGTTGTGTTGTCGTGTTGCTTGATTCTACTGAAGCTACAGGTTGCGGATATGTTGTTGAGTCTGACTGTGTTCCTCCATTAGGGCCCACTGCCGCAGTTCCTAATTGTTCATTTCGCTCATTCTCCTGCTCATCAACCTAAAAGAACAGTTTAATTGATATACACCCTACATTCAGTTTTTATTCATTTCAGACACCGTCAACAGAAGACGCATGGCTATCAATTGCTCAGGAATTTAATGAGAAGTGGAATTTCCCAAACTGTGTGNGAAAGCAAACGTCACATTTTTGTTTTGTCGTTTAGTGTAATAATTGGTGATAACCCCGTTGTATAAGCAAATTTTCTTCCTTACGTTCTTTTGGTTTAGTGTTTTATATCCTTTAGTTAAGTATTTAAATAAGTTAGGGCCACTTTTACCACCTCTTGATAAGTTTATCCAAGAGATAAATTGGCGCTTTTTGCCAATGAGAGCAATATACAGTAATACCCCGTAGTTCCGCGATAGGTGGGACTGACAGTAGCCGCGTAAATCGAAAATCGTGTAAGTCGAAATTCGATAAATACATATTATAAAATCAAGGATGTAAAAAATTTATGTACAGGATGGTTCAAATTTGATGTCCGAATAGGCTATCTCAAAAACTATACCAGTTAGGAAAAAAGTAGCTAACATGTCTCGATCTCTTTTTTTNGAAAAGTAGAAACAAAATAGAATATTTAAAATATGAACACACAACCAATTCAAATTATTTCATTCTTATTTGTTCTGATCATTATTGTACTATTAACTTAATGGATAACAAATAAAAATATACCTTAAAATTAATTAAGTACTTAACAGATGTCACGATTCATAGAGTATACTTGAACTATTTACGTCCCGAACCAAAAAGGTTGACCTCGTTCGACACCCAGGACCTTAATAAAAAGGAACCGCCTTTAAGAGAAACATCCAGAAGTATCCCGATCATGTTCCGATACATATCCTCATTTACATTCGCCCTTTTTATTATTTTTCTGATAATTATTACTCAAATCTCGTCAAAATCAGTTCCCGCTTCAATCCCCACCGAAATTCAACACGCCGTTTGCAAGATTACCACCGAAAAAGTTCAAGCTGTTGCAAACGCATCAATTTCAAGAGAATTAAAGGGTGTTTGTAGTTCGAGTAAGTACTAAGCTTTTTCATTTTTAGTAGAAAAAAATGTTATAAACGTTTTTTAGAAGAGATGCATGAAAAAATTGATGAGATACATAAAAGTTTATTTAAGGAAATTCAAGTTTTGAAATTAATGTTGCAAGGGAATGGATTTACAACTCCAAAACCGACGTTTTCTAGTTTAAGTTTAAAAAGTTTCGACGACGATTATGATTATTTAAATTATTTAGAAGACGATTTTAAAAATTATACGAACCTAGAAATAAAAAATAGAGAAAACGAAGTGCGAAAATTTAACGAAACAATTATAAAAACTGATTTGGGAAAGGCGTTCGTGTATTATTGGAGGATTTTGAACGTTTCTCAATCGTTTAAAAACGACGTGTATTTTATTAGTCCTCAAATTAATTTTTTAAACGCTAATTTATTCATAAAGTGTTCAATAAATTTGTTTGTTAAATTTCAACTTTTAGAGACAGCCCAATTTAAAAATCGTTATCGATTCGTTCTTCTTCACTCCGATGAAAAACACGATTTTAATTCTTCACTGTTTCAATCGAAAGTGGGGAAAATATTTCGAATTGAGCGTAAAAAGTTATTTGATTTTGTTTTTAATGATGCTATTTTAATCAAGTTGATTGTTTATTTGAATTAGATGTCGTAAGAATCTTTTAAACCTAAATTAGTTTAAAAAAAATTCAGGTAGAGAAAAAGAATAAGTTAGGTAGATATTTTAGTCCTTTTAAAGTTTCTAGAAGGTCGAAACTGACCGATAACTGTAAAACTTTCACTCATCGTATACTTTCCAAACGTAAACGAGCAAGAACCGCGTCAACATGCAACTAATAAAGGTAAGCGCAACCACATGTATTAAAAATAAAATTATTTTTTTTTAATTTTTAGATTTTTTTTATAACAATCGCTTTGTTAATAATAAATTTCGTGACGACTTTGGGTTTACCTCAAAATACGAGTAGAACTCCAATTTCCGACGACGCCTTAGAACAGGCTTTGAGCAATAAGAAGTACTTAGAAAGGCAATTAAAATGCGCAGTGGGTGAAGTACCTTGTGACGCCGTTGGTAGAAAATTAAAAAGTAAATTTGATTTAAATAAATTAATTTCTTTGTTAATATTAAAATTTTTATTATTTAGGTTTAGCTCCTTTGGTTCTTAGAGGTGCATGTCCTCAGTGTACTCCTAGCGAAACAAGACAAATACAAAAAGTGTTGGCGTATGTACAAAAAAATTTTCCGAAGGAATGGAATAAGATTTTGCAACAATACTCTGGTTGAAGATTAATCATCACAAAAGTCTGATTGTGAGCTTATGTTAAAAATTGTTTGTTTTAATTAATCCAGTTAATAATTTTGTAAGTTATCTTAAGAACGCTAAATGTAATACTCAATGTTAATATAGATAATTAAAAAAAAATGTTAAAGACTACACCGTTTTTTATAAATGTAGTAAGGAGAAATGTTATCGCAAGAAGGAATGAGATAACACAGACAGGACTAGGTCCTATAGCAAGAATAAGAAGAGATGAAATTCATAATATGTAATCTTTCAGTGAACGTACGTCATTGAGGTCTTATATATAATCTAGAGTGCGTATGCTGTTGTCCCCACCACGCCTAAAATGAAGCCAGAAAGGTCGCCATGTTAGATGTATCAACTTAGCGAGAAATTCGAAATTCTTATACAGGGTGTCACACAAAAAACGCCCCAACCTGTAACTCTGTTATTTACATTCCGATTTTCATGACCCAGGTATCAAATAGAATGGTTTTATAAATACTATGATTCATGCTACAAATAAATTTTTTACAACGCCATCTTCAATTTCAAGTAATTACTAACTTTTGTTTTTCAAATTGCTGCGTATATTTTTCTTCACGTCATTGGATAGAGATTGTCTTTCTGAATCCATTGATGTATAACACATCCATTTTAAATGTAGTTTTAGCAGAAAAAAGACACCTGTATATACAGGTTGTCACACAAGAATGCCACAAGCTGTAACTCCGTCATTTAAATTTCGATTTTCATGAGCGAAATATCAAATGAAAAGGTTTGATGAATACTATGATTCATGCTACAAATAAACTTTTTCCAGCGCCATCTTGAATTTCAAGCGATTACCAACTTTTGATTTTCAAATTGCTCGGTATGTTTTTTTTCACGCTATTGGATAGAGATTCCTTTTCTGAATCCATTGATGTACAATACATAAACATTAATTGTAATTGTAGTATAGAAAAACATTANTATAATTAACATAAACTAAGAAGAAAATATTTAAAGCAATTCTGATTGATCACGTTAACCTTTGCTTATAAATAATTGTTAGTTTATTAAAAAAAAACTGAACAGTCCTTAATAATAAACTTTACTTGAACTTCAATTGAAGACCTCTGTGTAAGAAGGGAGTAGCTCCATTTATCAAGACAAGGAGGTGGCCCCTTACACCGAGGTCTTTAATTGTTAATTCCAAGTTAAGTAACCAGAAACACTTTATGGACTGTTGTAAATAATCGTCCAACCTACCAAATTATAAAAAACATGTGTGAAACGAAAAGAATTCAAAAACTTTCAACAAAAATAAAACTTTAATAAAAATAACAATATGTTTATGAGAATTGTGAGGTTATAATTGTAGGTACAATAGAGACTTGAAACTATAGCTAAGTTCAGGTCAGTACATCCAACATGTCTGACTTTCTGATTACTCCCACCACCGTATGTTGCACCTATATAAGTATATAGCACATATATTATGTATCGTATATTGCATTATAAAAAATTGCACTGATAATTATTTCCTCTTTTACTGGTAGTCTACAAGAGGTTCCAATTAAATCATTTTTCATCGTCCAAATCCCATTCGCATTACGGCATAAGGCAATGTAGTGGCTTATTCCACCTTCAATTATTGAGGGCTCATATTTGATAATGCCACTCAAAACTAAATTCATTTCATTTACTTTGACGTATTCTGGAATGTCTTCTATTCTTGTGCAGAATCTTGATATATCCATATTTAAGGTCTTCGCATAGCTTGAATTTTTGTATGCATTCTCAGTGTCAATCCACAGATATGCCCCCACCAACAGGTAATTTCTAGTTGAATTATTTCCATATTTATGACATGGTTATATTTCTGTTCGTAAATAATAATTATTAATTGACTCTTCAAGGTTTGAATAATTGTAATTCCATACAATACTTAAATTTGAATAGGAATTGCAATTTTATGAAATACTTGATGTTCTTGACATTTCAAGCACGAATATTGTTCTTTAATATATCCATAAACCTCCATTAGTTGTGTGAACAAGAATGTTATGTTCGTGTTGCAGTCAATAATATTACTTTCTATTTGAAAAACAGATTTTAATATATAGCCACGGTTCAAATATAAGCTATTGTTCACACCATTCCTACAATACTGTTGCAAAAATGATGAATAGCATAACCGCTGTAGAGCTTGGGATTCGTTTTTTCATCGGCGAAAGAGAACTAGTTACCACACTTAATAAGTCTGTAAAATCGGTAAACCTGCCATTTACCGCCATTTAGAATAACCCGCGTAGACGTATTCCGCGCATGCGCACAACGTCTAGGGATCTGCATACAACAAGATATTGTATACAAAAAATGTAATGCATCTTTTGTTAAAAAAACGATGGAGGAAATTTAAGAAACACTGGAGGAAATTATTGGTGTGAAGATCACACTTGAATTTGCAGTATTAATGGAGGTATCAACGTCAGAAATTTGCAAAAAGTTAATTTTTATTTTTTGTTTACTTCGTAAACTAAAGTGGATTAGATGGAGGAAATTGAAATACATCGATTCATATATTTATTTGTCTAAATATTGTAAGTTCGCCGGTCGGGGTGGGGGAGGTACCACATACGCTCTCTAGATTATATATAAGACCTCAATGACGTACAGTTCTGTTCAGATATAATGCGAAAGAGCCGCTCGTAGAGGCATAACATTGTACTAGAAACGACCTACGTTCACGAGGCATTCAATCCAGGTTTTACCTGCTCTGTAGTGTTGTAAAAGTTCCGAACAGGCAAGCGGGGTGATGTGATTTATGGCCAAGATGACTGAATCACAAGGAAAAATTAAGAAAATGAATAAGTATAAGCAATCCATTTACTTTACACAATTCCTGTAGTAAATGAAAATAATTACTAATAATTACTGGAATACAGTGGAACGATAAGTTGAACCTCATAAGAAATGAAAATTATATATTGATAGTAAGTTATACAGGGTGATTCATAAGTAATGGGCCAAATTGTAACTGTACGTTCAGGAGGCCAAAATAATAATATTTTCATTAACAATAATGGGTCTTAGTCTGCTCCTTACTGAGATACAGGATGTTAAAGCGAAAAAAATAAAATAGATTTTTGTTAATAGATCAGCTACTTTTCTACATAATGACTCATAGTTGACTTATAGTTTTTGTAAGGGTAAACAATAATGTGTGAGAGGATTTGAGTTAACTCGTAGATGTCGCCACATGCGCCATATGAATTAGATGAAATCAGCTACAAATTTTTTATCGCTCATTATTTTACAACATACTTGTTTAATTTGGATAGCCCCATCATTTCTGTAGAAAAAAGCTATACTTCTTTGATCTTGAAAATATTAACGATTTTCGAGATATTTGAATTTTACTAATTCACTACACTACATTTCACGGTGGTCGACGTAGCATTAATCTGTTAAGACACAAGCATGGCATGGAATGTTGACATTTACCTAACCGTAATTGATAATTGATAACAATATTAAACTGAAACCATAAAAAAATTACGTAATAAAACAATTTATTGTACGCCAGTTAATAAAACGAAATACAACATTAGAACAGACTTGAACTAAGACCACTTACGACAACTGTTATCAAAACCTACATGTTAATGTTGTGCGAAGTTAAATTAAATTTAAGCTTAATTATGAGCTACTGCAAAAGGTTTTCAACATGACCACCACCAGCATTTATACACGCATTTAACCGTTTGGTTAAGGATTGTCTGACTTTAAAAAATGTAGCAGGATTATTTCGTATTGAATTGGCTGCATCTTGAATTCTATTCCATAACTCGTCTCGTGTATTTATAGTAGGTTCAGCATAGACCATTGATTTCATGTAACCCCACACATAAAAATCAAGTGGATTAAAATCGGGACTGCGAGGTGGCCACTGAAATTCACTACCACGTCCAATCCAACGGTGAGGGAATGTTTCATTCAGATGTTCGCGCACAGCACGTGAAAAATGTGGAGGAGCACCGTCTTGCATGAACCACATATTTCTTCTTAGTTGTAATGGAAGATCTCCCAAGAGGTCGACTAAGTCATTATTTAAAAAAATTAAATATGACTCTCCATTTAAATTAGGAGGTAATTCAACTGGGC